GGGTTTAATATTTTTCCTAGAACTTTTTTTTTTTTTTTTTTTTTTTTTTCGTCTTTTTGTGAACAACAAAAAAAAAAAAAAAAAAAAAAAAAAAAAAAGCAGGGATGACCTCATCTGAGTTGGGAGGCGTTATCTGAGGCGCTCTGCCAGCTCCCAGCCAACCAGATCTGAATGAAAATTGCAGAGAACCCGTTACATCAGCAAAGCCCAGCATGCCCCAGCCCTTTCCAATACCATCTTCAGCCACACGGGAAGCATCCCATCCGGGAGGAGGGCTCATCTCCCTTTATCAGGAGCAAAAGGACAAGATCATAGAGCTGCAGCCTTGTAAATGACTTGTTACACAGCGTGCAAGAGGATTTGAGGTGAAGGCAGGCAGCACAAAACGAAAGTGAGTCCACATCCTGCATAGATAAGTGCCAGCTCGAAAGAGCCTGACATAAAACTTTTCCTCCAGCCCGTGCCAAAGGAGACCCAGAACTGCTTTGTCCTAACAGCGTGCATTTGCATTTTGAAAGAGCAAAGCCACAGCTCAGGCCTGGCCATGACGGCATGCAATGCGGCAGGGACTCCAGCACAGTAATTTAACACTCATTCCATGGGTGGACTAGGCAATTCCATGCATACGGCACAGGAGCTAGGCCAGCACCCCAACCACACCTCTGGCCCTCCAACACTCCAACCTCCCTTTTAGGTGCCATTAACCGTCTGGCTCAGCAGCCTGGGCCCACAGAAACAGTTTCTGCAGGTGGGAAAACGTGTCTCCTCCTCCCGCTCACCATCTCAGAGTCCAGATACTGCCCAGAGGACAGACCGAGTCCCGTCATCATCATTTTAAAGACTACAAAGTAATGAAAAGCTCCCTCTGAAAGGGGCTAAGCACCATCATTTATGCCCTAACTTGTAAAATAAACCTCCTACTGAATCCTACAGGGCTCCTGCTAAACTGTCAAAGATAGCCTGAGATGGTCACTTTTGGGTACGTGTCCTGCTCTGGTGATGGTGATGTTTTAAGGAGACTTTGAAGGAGAGGAAATAGCTGATATTAGACCAACTGATATAACCGGAAAAGAAAAGCAGCACACAAGCTCTTCCCACACTTGCCCACATGCTTACTTGCTAAATTAACTCCAATGTCTGCTGTGCCCAGAGTTCACTAAAATAAATTAAGAGACTTAAACCAGATACACATTCCAGGGAGAGACATCTATAAATACCTAGAAGCTGGGAAAGGTGACAGGCAGCCACAAGCTTAGATGTTCTGTCCTGCAAACATTTCAACATTTCTAAAATAATCACCAGGAGGAGGGGTGGAGGGGGGTGTGAAGAGGGAATGAAATTTTAAAAATAAAAAAAAAAAGCTATAAATTAGGACTAGAATTCCACTTCTACATTTTAGAGATAGGAGGAAAAAAATTAAAACAAAAAAATTTGTCTTTAAACTCATCTTGTTGCTTTAAGAAAGCAAAGCCAGTCTAAATGTGCATTTTTTATTTAAACAACTTTTGTTGTAGGAGAGACAATAAATATCACTTGCATATTAAGACCATTTACTCCCCCTAACTTAAAAAGTAATCGCAAGAGCTACACTACAAATGTTGTTGCTTTAGGCTCCCTTTTCTTCTCCTTCACGGAAAGTTGTTCCACATGGTGACTTACCCTCATCAGTGTTTCAGTGACCCTTTGAAAATTCCTTTTTCTATCCCATTCTACTCTAGGCAACATATTCTAACTCCAGATAGAAGGGATCAGTCTGAATACAGATGTCCTAACACTAACATAAGCTGTTTTACAGACACATAAACTCTTTACAAGGCTTGGTTTGCTTTGGGCTATGCTGAAATGTTTCATCAACAGTTTGGGCTGGTACCAGCCAAGAAGCTGCTCTATTTCAGGTCCATGAGTACAATCCTGCAGATAGCCCCACTGCCAACAGGCACCAGAGTCCAAGCCTTGCTCTGTAAAAGTATTAAAATTAAAATAAATTGCAAATATAGAGGAAAAGGGACATTCTTCTTACAACTGGTCAGAGCAGCTGGAACTAGAGCTTTGGGATCTGTTTTGAATTCTTCTTTTAACCAGTTATGCTACTTTTAGAACATAGCAGAAATACACATTTTTCTCATACACATATCTAAAGCTAGACAACTCCTTCATTCACATTTTGGCAGCCTGTTTAACTGTGGTCATCCACACTTATTATTCATGGCATGGCATAAGCACATGTGCATTTTCAAGGATCACTGTCTAAAGCAGACAACATGGTCTGATGTGTGTTCTTAGAAAGAGGTGAAGATGGTTAAATGGAGAATAACGCCACCATTCAACATGGATTAGACAACCAAGAATCAGGTAAAATCTTCAGTAATTACCTGGTACCTAGCTGAGAGTTTCAGCCACCTCCTCCAGATCCCAGTCACAGAAGTGGCAGCACTGGGCACAGTAAACAGTTCTGTGACAATGCTCTGGGGACAAGAACAAAAGAACAGCACTGCAAGAGAGCCCTAACGGATGTATTAGAGATGATGGTCATATCTCAGGGTCTGTCTGCTTGTGTTGCTATTCAGGAATTCTAGTTTAAATTAACACCTTTCCTTAATTTACCCTCACGCGCTTTCAAAGGCTCCTTCGCAATCCAGTAGACAATGGGGCTTTCAAGCACATTTCACAGCAGGGCTGCCCGGTTTAAACTTTAAGACGTGTAACAGTCTTGTCTCCACATCAGGTATGCCACCCCTGGCTGTCCATTATACTTTTTGACACCTTGTCATTTTGGATTGTATATAGTGCTTTTGCCCATGTCAAGTTGTCATTCTGAGTACATTAGCCAAGACTATCCTTTTTAAAGGAAGTATAAAATGGCCTTTTAAAAACTGGAGGAAGTATTTTTTTTCAAGTCCCTGAGAATAGTGGAGGGTATTCAAAAATGTAAAGAGATTTGCATTGCTCCTCCTTCATCTACAACAATAAATCATCTCCTGGGTAGGTGCTGGCACTTTGTAGCCTGATTCCAGGAATGTCACAGGAGGCGTTTTAACTGAAAGAGTCTTAACTCCTTTCTACCCGGGACACTTGCATATACCAAGGAGCTGACTGATTCTGGTCTAACTCCAGTGCAAGATACAGGAATAAATGGGGAGAGAAAATCAGCACAAGATGCCAGTGATAGCAGAGGGCTTGTGCTTTGCCCCGTGTAATGCAATACGTGAAATATTTAACTTCAGATTGCACCACAAAGGAAAGAACAACAGTCAAATCAGATTATTTCAACCACTTAAAATATTTTATCTAAGACCGTGGGGATCTGTAGCTGAAAGTCAGGTGCATGTTAGTAGCTGGGGGAAACAAAGTTAACATTTGCATTGAGTTTCTCACTGATTCACTCTTGATTTTACATTTTTTTCTTCCTTCTCATCGCAGCTACACTTCCCAACTTTTGAATATTAGGCTGTTTGTCAGGGAGCAATGAAGGCTGGTGGCTCCTGAAGGGATGGGGTCCTGAGTGCATAACATGGCTGGCAGGGCAAGGACTTCACTATCCAGGACCCTGCCCCACAGGCCATGAGCAAGGTGTGCAGGGCAGGCCTAGAGATGGCCACCACATTCAGCCAAGATTCCAGCTCACCGGGCAAGTTCATAAGGATTAGGCAGGTCCAAAGTCTAGCCAGGATGTCAACCTATGGGTCAGGCCCAGCAGGACAGAGCTGGAGACCAGCATCCTACCTACGCCACTGGGGGAGGAATTGCTGAAGCAAGGACTTACGGGCCAAGGCTGGGCTGAAATGGGGCTCATGGCCATGGGCAGCCCCAGGGGAGTATAGGACTCTATCTCCTCAGTTTACCTAAAGCAACACTGTCAACCAATAGCCAAGCAACGTACATAGAGACTTTCAACCTGGAAACTGGGATGAAAATGCTGAATTCATCTTCATTCTGATGCTAAGGATTAGGCAAGTAGTTGTTGTTGTCATTACTACAAATTCACAGCACAAACAATAACGGTTCAAGAGCAGCCAACATATGCAGTCAAAAGGGATCATACACAGTAACAGTAATTTGTGTTGTATATCTGCTCTACTGACCAGCACCACCTATAGGTACCACCATGCCAGCTTTAGTTGGTTCATTTTTTTTACTAGTTTTAATCCCTGTCACTCAAAAACCTCTGTTAATTTTAAAGAGGGAGATATTGATCTATACCTAAGCAAAAATAGTAGCTTTCCAGCTCTCCAGAAGTACCTTGTCCCTTGTTTGGTTGGATACAGGAAGTGGGCAGCTCATTCCCTCAGAACAACAAGAGGGTGTTAGACCCTCTTCGTTGATTCATTGGATCTCTGAACATGGATAACATTTTACAACTTTACAAGGCTTAGTGATGGGTTTTGTTTAACCCAATTTATTCTGTAAGACATAGACTGTGGCTAACCATTAGACGTGTACACTACTCAGACAATTATTTAGGCAAGCCAAAACCCACTGCAGCACCTTCTCAAACAAAATTTCTCATATATAAAAAGATCTTCAAACAGTGAAGGAACATCTGCTGATAAGAAAACCTATCAGGATTTAGAGATGGAACTCAATAGATATTCCCCACACACACACACTCCTCCCACCCCCAAATTTTCATAAACTTGCTGTGGTACACATGGCATAATCTGGCTACCAATGTTTTTGAATACTGCTAAAATGTAAGCTGAAATCTACACCAAAGAAAACCAGTAACAGTGTCCCATCTCACCCACATTCGTTGAGCTTAGTTTGAGGTCCTACTTGGCAATGGCAAACTAATAGAAAGAGTCCACTGCACAAAGTGAGGCTGTGGCAGTGCACGTATTCCGTTTTCCACCTATTT